ATATTTGTCTATATTTAAAAAAAAACGTATTTATATTTTTTTTTCTAAATTCTAAGAAATATTTTTTTACTTTCTAGCAAAAAATTTCTAAATTGCAGTCTATTTTTTTTTGATTTCATTTTCACTCGTAGTTGTTTTGATTTTAAAAACCTACATTCTTTAATATAGACAAAATCGCCAGTAAAGCAAATTCATAGGCGATTTTCTAAAACCAAGGGCGATTTCAGTCGATTTTTTTTTTTTTAGGGTATTCTTTTGTTTATGCTGGGCATATGTCTTCCGCAATTGCCGGTTAGGCGATTTTTTTTCTGAGTGAATTCTTTAAACTTTTATTCCGTTTTCCTCCGAGTGAAAACCAACATATGTTTTTCTAGTAGCTGGGGCAATCTTGGGAAAAAGACTAAACGTTAACACTTACTAATATTATCCCACCCCCTGACTGATAGAAAGTTTTGAGCAGCAGTTATGTAATTATTTATTTTTTAATTTAATTTATTTCTTACTTATTTCCTAGTGCTACAAGGATTTCCTTATAATTTAGTGCACAAGTCACATAGACAATATTAAGAATTATGCAAATACATATGTAGGTCTCTACTTATATTAGAGTTTTGCACTTATATCTAACATTTAATACAATTAACAATAAGAATTATGTAATAAATAAATAAATAAATATGGGCAATAAATATATAAACAGGTTAAAATATGATAAATAATTGTAAGTGCATATTAAGATTTAAAAAACTTGTTGTAGCTATAAAAATGGTTAGTTGAAGCATGGGGACTTTTATCGTTCGACTAGGAAAATTTGTATTTAATATTTATTAAATTTATTTTTTCCTCATTCAATTTAATTACGATTTATTTTATTTCGACTAAATAAATAAATAAATAAATGTTTTTAGACACTCACCATACTTTTTCCATCCTCCGACGAAAGCGCTTTAGTCGTAACGATGAAGGCTAAATAGGGATGAATAAAAGAACACCAACACAGAAAAGAAATAGGATTTATAGGCCAGGAGAATATGAGACTTTTGGGAGCATCCTTTGAGTCGCAGCACTTGAATTGGGGTTCAAATCGAAGTAAATCCCCAAACGACACTAACACAGAACCAAATAATTTTTTTTTTTCTTTCGACGAACTAAAAATTGTTACACAACCTTAAACCGACACTTAAAACTAATCTCTCCGCCTTTACGTGGGCTGCTCCCGGACGACTCCTAGATCGGGATTTGACCGGAACGACGAGTTTTTTCGGCCGAAATGAATATCTTTTTAAACTCCCGAAAATAACTTTTAACCGCAGATCGTGTCGGCGACGTTGTGTAAGCCTTTAGCGTACGGCGAACCTGGCGACTAGGTTCGGTTGAACCTGGGTTCTTCTTTCGCCTCAAATGATCGCTCGATGGTAGTTCGTCGCCTAAACTCTGCACTAGATTCACTGGGTGCAATTCTCTTTGGATCGGGGCATGGGTTATAAAGGGCAAAACTTATCTCTGACGAAAAATAAGGCAATCATTTACGCCCTTCCTTGGGCGCTGCTGCTGCTCTTTGATGAAACGCTGGCGTTAAACTTAAACACTGGGTCTTCTTAGCTAAATTCGCCCTCTCTCTCTCTTCTTGGTTGCCATCAAACCCAAGCGGTTGCCCTTTTAGTTGCGGCTGGCTGCCAATTAAAATTGAATATTTTTTCGCTGGCACTGTATCCTAGCACTCGCGTGTACTTTACGAATTTCTTGCCACTGGTGAAATTTGGACTGTATTCTGCAGTTGCCAAAGACAGAAAGACCTAACCCCACGCCGCCAAGGTGGCGGTAACCCCAGATCGAAGTCAGGGTGAAAGCGGAGATAGATGACACTTGCCCCTGTTGCTCTCCCACGCTATCTCATCTATACCTCCCACTCTCATCCTAGCTCTAGTGGCAACGCAGTACTCACTTTCCGAACGACCGATGGAGCTACAAAAGTATCTTTTTTTCGAGCAAGCGCTACATAGTTTACTACCATGTTTTTGTTTGATATAAAATAGTTTCAAAAGTTGAACTTGACAAGCTAATTACCAACAGTACTAAACATATCCTTCCTTGAGCTGGTCATCAATATATGAATTGGATACTTTAGTGAATAATGTATTACAGATTATTCTGTATGAAGATGATGATATTTAGAATTACATTTAAACTAACTAGTTCTTTTTGCGCATATACAATTGCAACCACTAAAAAACCCCTATTATAGACACGAATATCCGAAAGCCGTGACGTTGGTTTGTGTTTTGAACCTGTTAATTAACAGTGACAAAATGGATTTGGATATTTTGTAAAAAAATCTTTAATACAAATTGTTATGAACTAATTTATGGCACAAAGCGGAATCGGGAATTCAAGTTAATTAATATCTTCAGCGCTCTAGTAGTTCTCGGTGGTGCGCACGTAGTTCACTCCAGATGGCATGGAGACCTTGTCGAATCCCTTGGGGAACAGTTTGTGGGCCTCCTCATCGGTGACAGTGGGCAGGATCATGACCTTGGTGCCAGGCTATTGAAGAAGCACGATTAGTGGGGATTCAATTGAATTCCATCGGGGATAGTACTTACAGTCCAGTTGGCTGGAGTGGCCACCACCTTGAGGCGATCAGTCAGCTGCAGAGAGTCAATGGTCCTCAGGATCTCACTGCGAAATTGGAGAATCGTTAGTCAGGAAACCATCTGAAAACCTCCTGGAAGAGAAACTCACTCGACGTTGCGGCCAGTAGACATGGGGTAGAACATGGAGAGGCGCACCTTGTGGTCCGGGCTGATAATGAACAGGGCGCGGATGGTCTTGCCCACCTCGGGGTCCTTCTTCTGCTCCTCATCGAGCATGCCCAGGCTGACGGCCAGGTCCCGAGTGGGGTCGGCGATGATCGGGTAGGGGAAGTCCCCGGGAATGTCCAGGCAGTAGCTCTTGATGTCGTTCACCCAGTCCACATGCGAGTTGAGTGCGTCCACGGAGTGCGCTAGGCACTTGGTGTTCCGCTTGGCGAACTCGGGCTGGTGCACCGCAATTCTGCCCAGTTCGGTGGTGCAGACGGGGGTGAAGTCGGCGGGGTGGGAGAAGAGCACCACCCACCTGAGGACCGGGGATCGGAGGGAGAACTGGATGAGCATTGGGAAACTGGGGAAGCTGGTCTGATGGCACTTACGAGTTGCCCTGCCACTCGTGGAAGCTGATGGGTCCCTTGGTGGTGTCGGCCTGGAAGTTAGGTACGGTCTGTCCCAAACGCATCTTGATGTGATTTTACTAGTTTAGCACTTGGATAAAACTCTTTAGTTGCTCAGCTGGTAGCTGTTGCTGGCTCGCTCACTTGTTGCTTACTGAATACTGACTGCGAGAGACCGCTGCCTTTTATACCCAGCTGGATCGGTTCCACCTGTGGGAGCGATAGAGACAGAGAACGGGCGCTGCCTTATCGCGCATGTTCATATATAGTATGTGGTGTAGTGTATAGATTAATAAACAATTCAAAGCAGAGGGAAGGAGGAGGGGGATGGAAGGCGGAATGGGGGGACCTCGTGCAAGGTTTCCATATTTGTTTGAGACTGGACTGGGGCCTCTACAAACCTGATTATGGCCTCACCCAACTTTGGACTTTGTGACGAAATGCTTCTAGAAGTAACTTGTACAAAAGTACAGTTTGGCTTGTTCGTGTTTCTTCTTTTTAACCAGTTCTAATTGTCCAAATAATGCAAATTCCATCAGGATCGGCCCCCAAACAGCTGATCCGCTCCAGCTGATGGATTTACCGGCTCCAAACATAAACAGAGCGTCAGAGAGCATTTGAATATGCAATAGTGGTGGTGTTCAGTGGCGAAACACCAACACAAGCGAAAGTTCGAGTTCACCGATAGCGGGACAGTGAGATCGAGAGAGCGATGAACAGTGAATTGGTATTTGTAAGTGGCCGTGGAAAACGCACACTACGATGGATCGCCGTGCTCTCCCGTTCACGTACACAAAACGAGCCTCCAATTGGGAGAAAAGAGCGAGGTAATTTATGAGACTGTGTGCGTGGGTCCAACGGAAACTCGCACACTAGTGCAGATATTCTCTCAGTGGGTTTCACGAATGGGTGAAGTGGGTTTGGGTAGTCGCATAGGCAGGTCGCTAGCTCAGAAGCCAAAAGACAGTATACAGGAAAGGAACCCAACTTGGAATTAGATCAGCATAATGGAAAATTACATCATAATAATGGATACATATTCGTGATGTGAAAAATACTATGTGAAGTGTGTAAGGAGGTCGTTTGAAGGAAAATGTACATAGTTCTTTGATGAATTTCAATGTAGTTTTTGAGTGTTACGAGTACAGTTCAATGCTTTTACAATGTGAAATCCTAAACGTAAAACCATTTTGTTATTCTATACACATTTGTGGTAATTTTCCATTCCTCGTCGCTTATCGTTTTCTCGGATGTTTTTGAACAACAAATTCAAATATGTAGTTAAGCGGGATGCAAGATCGTATTGGTGCGGGAAAGAGTGAGAGGAGACGCCTTGTGCAAATGACCTACGTTGTTGATCGAGTGGGAGGGAGAGAAAGGAGAAGTAGAGAGAGAAACCAGAGAGTAGAATGCACAGAGCGAACCGGGTCTGATCTATAGGCTATAATATCGATAGACCGAACCTAACCGTAACCTAACGTTCGAGCGCCATCTATCGAATTGCTGATTCTTATAATTCTCCTATTTATAATTATAGCTAAATGATTTTTCGATAAATTGCATCTGAATTTATCATTTAATATTAGTCCGAAAAATATGTAGCCTCACAGGAACGATTTTAATTAGCCCTATTAAATGTCTCCACAGTCAGTCGCAACATAGTATGCAACGATTTTTGAAACTGATGGCCAAGACTGTAACTTCCCCTGTAGCCCCTTTGACAAATTTTTTAGGCACTCAATTTTGTAAATAATTATTATTTTACACAACAAAATATTAAGACAATGTCGGATAACATTAAATGTGTTTTTATTTGCATACTTTTAACTACTTAAGATCTTAGAATCTAAAACTATATAGGGCGGTGTAGAAATTCTCCATCCATATCAGCGTACCAAAACGTACGATAACGACTATCAGTAAATTTAATTCAACAAATTCGAGTACAATGGTAGAGTTCTACTTGGCCAGTCTTCTCCTGACCAAGATCTCGTAGATTCCCAGGCCCGCTGAGAGGGTTCCAATAGCTCCAATTTGGAATGTTGACATCTTTCCACCCCATAGGTAACCGCTGGGCAGAGTGCTGATGGCGTGGACCAGATCGAGGGATATGCGAGCAAAGGAAGCCACATCCTGCCGGTTCGGCGTGTTCCGATTCAGCGAAAAGGTCCTTAGTGTCCTTGCGAGGCTCAGGTACACGGAGACCACACAGAACATGGAGTTTGCATAGCTCCAATAGTCTCTACTTCTCACATCCAGAACCTTGTGCTCAGCCAGCCAGCAGATGATTTCGATGGGGTAGAAGAGCAGGTCCACTGCGTTGGACATCACCACCAGTAAGGCCGTAATGCGATCCGGCTCACAGTCGCCCAATCCGTACTCCAGAGTGTACTGGAACACGGGAAGATCGTCGATCAGGCGCAGAGTGGCCTTGGCCCCCGAAATCTTCGAGCTGACGGTGGCACATCGGCGGGACAGTTCTGGGTTCCGCTTGGCATGGTATCCTGCCACCAACTTGGCACTCTGGCACAACGCCTCCATCAGGACATCTCGTCCGCCATAGGAATCGATGAGAACACAGACTTCGTTCATAAACGTGGGCATAGTTGCCTGATTTTTGTAATGCCTAATGTGAGGTGGAAACTTGAACTGAAATGCAGCGATGCCATCGGAATTTATAGCCCAACTTCCGACCGATTTCGATTACAGAAGGCGGCACTTGAAATTCGATTGTGTTGAAATCTGGGAGCGATATCGCTGATCCAACCCGGTTCGCTCTTGGCCTTCCACTCTTTTGGTTTTCCCTTCTCTCTCTCTCTCTCTCTTCAAACTTGTTGCGCGTGTACTCTCCATCTCGCTCTCCCTCACAGCAACTCAATGTTCTTTCCCGCTCGACGACAAAACCTACATTGTTATTGACAAACAAATCTAGAGAACTGTGGAAAATTACCACATCATGTTTATAATAAGTTAAATATTTTTGCGTTGTAATAAGCGCACAGCATTTTAACATATGCTTAGACTGTACTTTTAAGAATTGTAAAATACTCAGGAAGAAAATGATGATGAAATATGTAGGAAATACTCCCTCAAACGACCTTCCCATTTCTGGTACATTGCACATCACTGCCCTATATTAAATATTTTCAACTATACACAATAATGCTGATCTGATTCCAAGTCGCTTTGCTTTTCTGGGGACTGTCTTTTTGCTTCTGAGTTAGCGATCTACCCATGCTAGTTCCCAAACCCATTTGAGCCATCCGTGTGACCCACTGAGAGAAAATCTGTAACTGTGTGCAAATTTTCGACAGACCCACCCACACAGTCTCATAAATTTACTCGCTCTTCTCTCCCAATTGGAGGCTCGTTTTGTGTACGTGAAATGAGAGCGTTGCAATCTATCGTAGTGTGCGTTTTTTACAGGCACTCACAAATACCACAACAGTGTTTGCCGCTCTCTCGCTATTATTAAAAGGTTTAGTGCTCTTTGGAAAGTGATCAGCTGTTAAATCAGCTGTTGGGGGGACAGTTCCGGAAATGAACCGATAATCCTTTCTTACTTGTGTCCAGGGGGATATATTAGGTCAGAAAAATAAGGTAGAACTGTACTTTTATGAATACAAACTTCTAGAATTTCATGACAAAGTCCAAAATATCACGAGGCTCGCTACATAGCAACACACAAAAATAGAGGCGTACAAAACACGGAGGCCTTGCCCGATCAGGTATACCATATATACATATGTACATTTGTACATACTTACGTATGTATGGATGTTCCAATGAGTATACACAATGTCGATAAGACCGCACGCGTTACTGTCTCAATCGCTCTCACTGATCACCTCGGACCATGTGGGTATAAAAGGCAGCGATCTCTCTCATTCGGTATTCAGTTAGCAGCAAGTGAGCCAACTATCAGCAGCAAAAGTTAGGAAAGCTGTATCCAAATACAAGGCACAATGAGTTCCAATTCTCTGTTCGAAACCGACGAAGATGTCGCCCAGGCCAATAAATTGTCCAAAAAGGTCAAAGAATCTCCTTTTATGCTAGTGGGCATTGCCGGATTCGTGGCCGCCGGTCTGGTTGGAGCCTACAAATACCGCAACCGTGGATCCATGAGCACCAGCGTCTTTTTGATGCAGTTGCGAGTGGCCGCCCAGGGAACCGTAGTCGGATGTTTGACCGCCGGACTGGCCTACACCATGGCCAAGGAGTATCTACTCCACGAAGAGCCCAAGAACAACACAAAGTCTGTCAAGTAAAGATAGAGTCGAAAGCATCTGATACCCCGAGATCACCAACTGTTCTGTGAGTAATACCTTTGAATAAACTCGGAATGAGTCGGTAATAATTATGTTTATCCAACAGCCTAGCATAAAAAAGATCCTGCCCACCCTCTCCGATGAAAAGTGTCACAACAAAAAACCCTAAAGATATAATAAATTCGGCATTCGGGGGTGAACTACAAGCGCACCACCGAGAAGTATTAGCCATCTGACTCTACCTCCATTTCATATTTCATCATATTTGTATAAAATCGCATAAAATCGTAGTCTTAAGTAATACAATAAAAACAGTTTTTACTAAAAATCCTACCTCACTGATTTACTAAACTTTTGTTTTTCAGATTTCAGACAAAGTTATTAACAAATATTTAATACAGCCTTTTAAAATATGATATTGCTGAACTATCTAAAGTTACACAGAATCTACAAACCTTTTCTGTTTTTTTAAACATCAATCAATATTTATTATACCCGTAACTCGTAGAGTAAAAGGGTATATTGTATTCCTGCAAATATATGTAACAGCTAGAAGGAAGCGTTTCCGACCCCATAAAGTATATATATTCTTGATCAGGATCACTAGCCGAGTCTGACTATCTGTCTGTATTAACGCTGATATCTCGGAAAATACAAAAGCTAGAAGGTTGAGATTTCCCATACATATCCTTGGGCTTCCTACGCAGCGCAAGTATATTTCAGCTGAGCCACTAACGATTTTAAAATGTGTTTGTCTTTAAAGATTTCCGAGAAGTCTAAATGCAATTTTTTTGTGTATTTTTATACCTATAGAAATGTAGAATACATTTTTCCAATCGGACCATTCATTAAAAAGTTATACGCAATCAAAAAAATTGTATATGTTCCATTTCCCTCGCACTCCCTTTAGCCAAGTGACGGGTATTAGATAGTCGGGACACCAACCCGCATATATGATTGCAACCACAAAAAAAACCCTATTATAGACACGAATATCCGAAAGCCGTGACGTTGGTTTGTGTTTTGAAGCTGTTTATTAACAGTGACAAAATGGATTTGGATATTTTGTAACAATAAATTTTTAATACAAATTGTTATGAACTAATTTATGGCACAAAGCGGAATCGGGAATTCAAGTTAATTACTATCTTCAGCGCTCTAGTAGTTCTCGGTGGTGCGCACGTAGTTCACTCCAGATGGCATGGAGACCTTGTCGAATCCCTTGGGGAACAGTTTGTGGGCCTCCTCATCGGTGACAGTGGGCAGGATCATGACCTTGGTGCCAGGCTATTGAAGAAGCACGATTAGTGGGGATTCAATTGAATTCCATCGGGGATAGTACTTACAGTCCAGTTGGCTGGAGTGGCCACCACCTTGAGGCGATCAGTCAGCTGAAGAGAGTCAATGGTCCTCAGGATCTCACTGCGAAATTGGAGGATCGTTAGTCAGGAAACCATCTGAAAAACTCCTGGAAGATAAACTCACTCGACGTTGCGGCCAGTAGACATGGGGTAGAACATGGAGAGGCGCACCTTGTGGTCCGGGCTGATAATGAACAGGGCGCGGATGGTCTTGCCCACCTCGGGGACCTTCTTCTGCTCCTCGTCGAGCATGCCCAGGCTGACGGCCAGGTCCCGAGTGGGGTCGGCGATGATCGGGTAGGGGAAGTCCCCGGGAATGTCCAGGCAGTAGCTCTTGATGTCGTTCACCCAGTCCACATGCGAGTTGAGTGCGTCCACGGAGTGCGCCAGGCACTTGGTGTTCCGCTTGGCGAACTCGGGCTGGTGCACCGCAATTCTGCCCAGTTCGGTGGTGCAGACGGGGGTGAAGTCGGCGGGGTGGGAGAAGAGCACCACCCACCTGAGGACCGGGGATCGGAGGGAGGGAGGGCACTTACGAGTTGCCCTGCCACTCGTGGAAGCTGATGGGTCCCTTGGTGGTGTCGGCCTGGAAGTTAGGTACGGTCTGTCCCAAACGCATCTTGATGTGATTTTACTAGTTTAGCACTTGGATAAAACTCTTTAGTTGCTCAGCTGGTAGCTGTTGCTGGCTCGCTCACTTGTTGCTTACTGAATACTGACTGCGAGAGACCGCTGCCTTTTATACCCAGCTGGATCGGTTCCACCTGTGGGAGCGATAGAGACAGAGAACGGGCGCTGCCTTATCGCGCATGTTCATATATAGTATGTGGTGTAGTGTATAGATTAATAAACAATTCAAAGCAGAGGGAAGGAGGAGGGGGATGGAAGGCGGAATGGGGGGACCTCGTGCAAGGTTTCCATATTTGTTTGAGACTGGACTGGGGCCTCTACAAACCTGATTATGGCCTCACCCAACTTTGGACTTTGTGACGAAATGCTTCTAGAAGTAACTTGTACAAAAGTACAGTTTGGCTTGTTCGTGTTTCTTCTTTTTAACCAGTTCTAATTGTCCAAATAATGCAAATTCCATCAGGATCGGCCCCCAAACAGCTGATCCGCTCCAGCTGATGGATTTACCGGCTCCAAACATAAACAGAGCGTCAGAGAGCATTTGAATATGCAATAGTGGTGGTGTTCAGTGGCGAAACACCAACACAAGCGAAAGTTCGAGTTCACCGATAGCGGGACAGTGAGATCGAGAGAGCGATGAACAGTGAATTGGTATTTGTAAGTGCCCGTGGAAAACGCACACTACGATGGATCGCCGTGCTCTCCCGTTCACGTACACAAAACGAGCCTCCAATTGGGAGAAAAGAGCGAGGTAATTTATGAGACTGTGTGCGTGGGTCTAACGGAAACTCGCACACTAGTGCAAATATTCTCTCAGTGGGTTTCACGAATGGGTGAAGTGGGTTTGGGTAGTCGCACAGGCAGAGCCAGAAGCCAAACGACAGTTCACAAAAAAGGAACTCAACTTGGAATAAGATCAGCATAATATAAAAGATCAGATCCTTATAAATAATATGAGAAGGTTGAAAGTGAATTCCTGTCATTATTGTTCGTTACAATGGCTGTTTCTTTTTAGTTTTTCGTGTGTAACAAGTACAGTTCTTGCTTTTGGTTGAAAAATCAGTTACAAGTTGAAATTCAAGACGGAAAAACGTTTGGGAAATGGAAAATTACCACAAAATGTGTATAATAACATTCTGTGGTAATGTGTATAATAACATTCTGTGGTAATTTTCCATTTGTCGTTGGTTATCATTTTAAGGTTCGTTGTTCACAAAATGGGATTTCTGCTAAAAAGGGACGCCAGATAGAATGTATTCGGGGTGGAGAGGAGTGGATGGCAGCCATGACGAACTGGGAGAGTGATAGAGAGAATGATAAAGAAACTGTAAAAATTAAAGAGCGAACCGGGTTTTAGCCTGAGCTTCTAGATCATCGAAAGACTGCTATTATCGCAATGTAATCGAATCATTCAAATTACTGGCGCTCTTATTTTTGAGGAATAGGTAGAATTTCAAGATAATGCAATGTTATTACCAAATACTCAAAATATACACACAAAAAAATTTGCTTGGTAAAATGGACCAACAAAGTTAGTTACGTAACTATTAAAATAGTTACGTGTATTTTGTTTTTGCTTTTGGTTTGTGTCTTTGCTAATTGTGTGTATTTTGTTGTTGTGGAATAACTATTTACTTTGTTTGACAAATATTACAGTTGATTTTACCAAGTTTTTTTTTTGTAGCTATTGATCATTATAATACACCAGCTAAAGCTGCGTTTTTTGGCCTTTTACAGCTGTTACTGACACAACAGGGCTCTAACAGGGCTGTAATGCCCGTTTTTCCCAACGTAAAAAATCGATATAAAATCGAACCGGGGATTGATATTTGAGTTGATGGTCTTATTAGTTGGCTCAATGAAATATCTTTAAGTATAAGTTATAAGTTTCGGTTTTTTAAAAAGCGACAAAATCGTTCTTTACACTTCACACTGGGCCAGAAAGTTAATTTTTTGGCCAAAAATCTGTAATTTCTTTCCTAGGACAGTTAGAAGGATGCAGTTTTTTGCGTTTTTTTCTTAAAAGATTGAACTTTCCAACGAACTAAAAGTAAAATTTCTTGGAATTTTATATGATATAGATAATCCAGACCAAAGTCGGAAAATTTTACGTGCTTTTCGGTTTTTTATTTTTAAAAAAATAACTAGAAGACGCACTTCTTCCATTTTCGAAAACAATAAAGTATGAGATAAAACAAACTAAAAAAAATTAAAATCACTAAAAAATATTATGTCATTTAAGATTTATGAACCGTTAAAAAGTGCAACTTTCGGAGGCTCCCACATCAATGTTTATCAAACAATCGATTTAAAAAAAATTTCTATTTTTTTGTTCTTGTTACCTTTTAAGTTTTATATAATCAAATTATGTAAAAAAAATTGTTTAAAAATATTGTTTTTTGATTTGTTTAATGTTAATTTGACATATTCTGAAGTCATCACAAAAGTATGCTACATTTTTATTTGCATAGTCCTGATTAAATAGATAGATATAGGTTTGGAAAATACCATAATCGATTAGTGTACGTAAAAAGTAGATTTTAGATGTTAGTCACACTAAAATCAAATTTTTGAGCCCAAAATGTTCACCAAAACCTGAAGAAATAAAGTATGGCATACTCTTGGGCTCTCTTAGCTAAGCTCTTCAAAATAGCTCGACTTCGAGTTAAGCCTTCAATTAAAACTTAAATTACCGAAAACTAAGGCAAAACCGCATCGAGTCGGTGGGCTACGCTTTTAGTAAATTGATCAACGAATTTTTTTTTGAAGGAATGAACTAATTTGGGGATGGCACTCGAAGGCACTCGAAAAGCAAAGTACTCATTTGCTGAAAAAAAGCGTAAAAATTAACAATTACATTTATTTTAGCAAACAAGTAAGACATACGAGCTATATTATATTTTTTACTTGTTGAAAATAATCCCTTCTGCAAGTTTCGGAAAGAAGTCGAACAGCAACATCAGCATCTTTGACTTCTAAATTTTTTTTCATTTCCATCAATATTTTATGAATTTTTCACTTTGAAAATATGGTAAAAGAAAACTACTTGCCCGAATTCTTTAAAACTTTGGCATAAATTAGTTTAATGTATTATAAAAAGGATCCCAAACTCAATTTGGTCATTTTCTTAAAAAAGAAAAACGTATTTTTGGCCAAAAATCTGATCGGCTGGCCCAGTGTGCACTTTCAAAAAAATTGGTACCATACAAAAAATTGTAAGTGCCCTTTTTTTAATTATTAAGATGTACCTTAACAGACAAAAAAAGGTTTATGAAGGGCGTATTTCATAAATTTTTTTTTGTAAACTGGTGTTATTTTGCATAAATTGTTGAAAAACGTAGACAAGTTAACGATTTGCTTTCAAAGATTTATTCTTAAATGTTTTAAAGTTTTTTCACCAATAATAACAATAGAAAAGTGAAAACTTATTGTATCATACACGTTTTATATTTTCGAAAATTTGTATCCTGATTTATACATATATTATAAGTAATTTTGTAACTTTAAGTGCTGGGATGAAATAAACGAACAGATACAGAGGGACAAGGATAAGTAGGCTTCGCCTTGAAGTATGCTCTGCAGCAAGCAAGCACACGTGTATAAGAACTAAAACAAGTGTATATTAAGGAGTTTTTTGTAGAGTATACTTTAGGGCGGGTACAAACGTATTCTTTGGGGCAATCGCTTTTTTCCGTTAATAATTCCTATAAAAATATTTAAATCCCTCTTCATAATTAATTGTTTTCGAAAGCTTCCTTATTTTTGCATCCTTGACTGTCTTTAGAGCTTTTGCTCCTGAAAGCTAACGTTTGAAGTTAGCTTGCGAACAGCTGATTTTGATAAGCACCGCCTTCGCCCACGCCGCGTGTTTTCCTCTTTTGCTTTCGTTCTACCGCTTTGCTTTTGCTTTACTTTTGGCGCTCCGGTTCAGTTCAAATTTAGCGATGCGCGCGTGCGGTTGCTCAGCAGTAGAAAGGAATAACGGTGAACGGTCTTCAAACGTGGGTTCCATTTATTTGTCTTATCGCCTCGGTGTTTTGGGTCTAGGGACCGCAATTCGGCGTATTCTCGCATTCTGACAAAGTGCACACCTTTTGGGAGGGAAAACTTTTTCCGCGAAAACTTTCCCCACTTGTTTGCCCATGCGGTTCGTTCGTGTGTGTGTTTGCCAACTAACCCCAGCATGTGAGGCTGCGAACAAATCATCTTCAACACCATATTCCCACTCCACAGAAACACCCCTCAAGTGATCTGATCGCCTTCGAAAAAGTTTTTTCTCTGACCAGTTGTAATGGTAAATGCAGTAACGGCTGCCACGATAAAGTTATTTTTCGAAGGGGGCGAAAAGTTGCGAACCAACAACTGTCCTCATAAAATATGCCAAGCTATTTACATCGCCAGACCCAACAGCTTTAAGCCCTCTAGCACCCGCCGGCCATCAAAGTGTTAAAGTGCTATAAAAAAGGTACGAAAAAATACTCCCTCGGCGACCATTGAATAATGCATTCAATTACGAATGTCACCAAAAAATAAAAACAAACAAGAATTTATGCACACGGTATGTGTAGGTACAAATGTTAATATTCATTCACGATGTTTGCTTCGGACAGCCAATTAATGTTTGAGGGGTTCTTTCATAATTAATACTAAAAGTAATTAAAGGGTTGTTAAAAATGTAGGCAATGCTTATTGTTAGGCGAGCAATTAACCGTAAGAGCGTTCCATAAAAGTATAATTAGGGTTGATTAAAAAATTTGTTTATAAGAATATACATACGTGAATATACTTTTTTGTTTTACTTAATTTTGCCTTTTGGAAGTACTACATAGGTTTTTAGCAGAAACTTTACAAGGTTTTAAAATAAAATTATAATTTGTAGAAAAAATACAATCAGGAGTAAAACTACCGTAACTTTAGAATAATTTCCTAGTTAAAACCTTATCTAATAATAGTCATGAATTCAAAAAGAAATTAAAGGAATAATATATTCAATTACATAGAAAACTGAAATTACAAAGCTCAAACAATAAATGAATAATAATTTAAAGGGATTTCAGTTGTAACCCCCTTCCCGTAAGTATGAAATAAACAAGCC